ACATTTCTTGAAATACAGTACTAATGGAGGACAATTTCAAAGAAAAAAATGTTTTCAAGCCTTCTTATACAAATGATTTTCATAATCTCAACAGAGAGCTTGGAAAGGTTCCTTTTGCCTTCTTCCACATTTGCTGGACCCATATGGTGGTAAACATGTTTTGGAAAAAGGTGGCTAAAGAAACCAATAAATGATTGCCAAGAAGATTAATAAAAACACAGAAATGTGCTTATTGAGTTTGTTTCAGGAGAGAATGGGCTAAGACAATGTAGAAATATGGCAATATGGATATGTGGTAGCAAGAATCATTATAGAAAAATCTTGGAAGGGGGAAAAATAACTATTTATTAAGGATTAGATAAGAAAAGTAGTAGAGGATCTCCAATAGCATAAGGTAGTGTTTCTCAACCTGGGGGTCAGGACCCCTTGAAAGTGGATTGCGAGGGGGTGTCAGAGGAGTGTCAGTATTTTTTGTTGGTCATTGGAGGTTTGTGTGGGATGTTTGGCCCAATTCTATCATTGGTAGGGTTCAGAATGCTCTTTGATTGTAGGTGAACTATACATCCTAGCAACTACAACTCCCAAATGTCAAAATCTATTTTCCACAAACTCCACCAGCATTCGCAATTGGGCATATTGAGTATCCGTGCCAAGTTTGGTCCAGATCCATAATTGTTTGAGTCCAGAGTACTCTCTGGATGTAGGTGAACTACAACTCCAAACTCAAGGTCAATGCCCACCAAACCCTTCCAGTATTTTCTCTTGATCATGGAAGTTCTGTGTGCCAAGTTAGGTTCAATTCCATCATTGGTGGAGTTCAGAATGCTCTTTGATTTTATATTAACTATAAATCCTGGTAATAACAACTCCCAAATTATAAAAATTAATCCTCCCCCCCCCCCCAAACCCACCAGTATTCAAATTTGGGCGTATTGAGTATTTGTGCCAAATTTGGTCCAGTGAATGAAAATACATCCTTAAATATCAGATATTTACATTACATTTCATAAGAGGAGCAAAATTACACTTATGAAGTAACAATGAAAATAATGTTATGGTTGGGGGTCACCACAACATGAGGAACTGTATTAGGGGGTTGCGGCATTGGGAAGGTTGAGAACCACTGGCATAAAGGGAGGAAACAAAGATGAATTTGCTAGTAAGTGCAAAATGGATGGTTAATCACAGGTCACAAGGACTGTCCACAAAAGAAAATGGACAGACCTGGATTATGACTTGAGCTTGCATAATTTTAATTGGATGTTTTTATATTTGATATTTTAACTATTTGCTTAAATAAATGTAAACAATTATTACAATGGTCTTTTTTTGGGCATCTAATGGTTGTCGGTTGTGAACCGGGCGTAGTCCCTCTCTGGGGGTGAGAAGAACGGGATAGAAATATATGAAATAAATAATAAATAAACCCAATGCTGTAGGCTTTCCTTGAAATCTGGTAATCAAATATCTGCACAATGTTGTATTTCAATGCAAAATTGAGTCTTATCTCACATTATTCTTCCAGTGCCAAGTACAGATTAAGATTACTACCTCATGGGATCAAAGGTAACATTGGAGGTGCTCTGAAAGGGTTCACCCACTCCCTCCTTTGCAAAGAAAGGAGTGTCTGAAACTCTTCCGCCGCCCCCTCCTCGCCCTCAGTCCTATCATCACGAAGTGAATTGTCAGCCAGAGCTTTTGCGAAGTCAATTCCTGCATGAACAAGCCTGTGTTTACATGCCCCTCCGGATTTGGACATTTGCATAAAGCCACAGCTATGCTTACAATAAACAATGATGCTTATGTGTGTGTGTCAAATATATACGTGTCTTACATATCTGCTGACTTATTTGTGTATATGCGTAGGAATGTTTTCTTACAAGAAATGAACATAATTAGTTGCTGATGTGCAATAAAATGTTTGGCATCATTATGGGTTTCTGGCTAGAGTGCTGATACAAGATTTTGTTATAGATTTTTCATAACCAATTATTTGATTAAATGGGTCACAATTGACAGTTCTAAGCTTGCAGTGTACCGGATGAAGACGGCTGGTGTGGTAGAGTTTTTTGAACATTGGCCCATGATTCTGGAGACCAGGGTTCAAATCCCTGTTCAGCCATGGAAACCCATTGAGTGACCTTGGGCAAGCCACACACTCTCAACCTCAGAGGAAAGCAAAAGCAACACCTTTTTGAATAAATCCTGGCAGCAACACCCTGGATAGATTAGCCCCGGGATTTTTATAACTCAGAAATGATTTGAAAGCACACAGCAACAATTCAGGATGAAAACGTCATGGAAGGGAAGCAAACCATAATGAGACATAATATTCTAACAAGTTCTTAATAATTTGGAATAAAATCCACAAGCATTCTTCTTAATTTACAGAAAATATCAAAGTAAAGGAGAAAAATCAGTCAAAGTAGCCTCAAAATTAAACTAAATTCTCTCTAAATTGGATGTGGTTTGGATAATGGTACCTAGTGGCTTTTCTGTTGATGGGGTAACTAACCAATTCCATGTTTTACTTTGAACTTCCAAGAAGCTATCTCAAGGTGATGAATCTACTTAGGGGGGAAGATTCAGCACTTTGGACAGCTCAGACCCATGCACTAGCATTGGAGGCACCAGCCATTGGTAGTGAAAAGGGCTGTGGTCCATATCAACTTCCTCTTAGCCCACTGTCATACTCCCAAAGTTGCAGTTCTGACTGAGAATGTTGGTTGAAAGTCATTTCAAGGATTTCTATAATGGCTTAATCTGTCTGTCTGTCTGTCTGTCTATTATCTCATTCATCTATCCATATACTTATCAAATATCCTGCCTGACCAAGGGAGTAAATGGCATAGATTAAAACAAAGGGCATCTCAAACACAATGACTGATATTATACATTGGGCAGATTAATCATAATGACCATATAGTTCTGTGTCCTGATTCCTACTGCTGCTCTTCATGAATGTGGATTGGGGTCAAGTAATACAGTGAAGAAGCTATTGATCTCAGCTCAAGAAAGGGGGAGGAAAAAGAATCAATTCACAATATAGTGCATTTTACTTTTCCTTCCCATAGAAATCCACATTCTCATCATATGAATTACCTTCCACCTCTTTTCCCTCCACCACAAAATAGCATGTGCCCATATTACTGCTTCAGAGCCGTGTGGCTGGGAACAACACAGACTCGGATGAAGGATTTGGCTGGAGCTCCCTGAACTCTGTACAAAAAGGAGACATGTGTCTGTATAAGCCACATTTATCTCTGAGAGAAAGAGATAAATGTGGCTTATACATGCACAATTGTTATAATTTTGGAAGTTTTAAATAAATTGAGTCAAATATCCCATAAAAACTACACAGATTTAAAAGCAACCTAAAAGCACTGAAACTATGAGACCAAATGCATAGCACATAAAACACATTAAAAGTTCCTTCTCCAACATGTACTGAATTGCCAAAACACAACCACAATATATTCCTTCTGCCAGCAGGAGGAAAAAAAAGATATTAGTTTTTATTTTGTGGTGCTGAAGACTAACATCCTGTAGGAAATTCCCACTCTTTCTCATAGAAGATCAGTCCCAGCACTATAGATTGAATCTCTCCCGTTATAGAAGCGTCATCAAAATTTTGTGTTTGTTGATGGAGTATGGTTGTTATCCCACATCCTCTAAACATAGCATAATTAAGTACTTACCTGTTAAAATACACATGGCAGAGCTACTTAACACTGCTTCAGATTAGCAAAATTATGCAATGCATTTAGATAGATGTTACCATTGCACAACTTTGCCTCCATCACTGTGTATGTAAAAATACACCCATTACATAACAGTAAGATTTTTGCTCAGAATGCGTAAAATTTTTGCTCACTGACAAGATTCTAGTTGCCAATACTTATTGCATAGTATGGGACAACCCGTGTATCCACAGGAATTATATTTAAAGACCTCCTATGAATACATCAAAACATGAATAATAGTGAAATGCATATTTTGATTATTCTTGGGTTGTAAGTGTACTATAGAAGTTCACTGAAGGATCCAAAAAGTTGAAATACACTTCTGAGGGAGTGGATATTTGTTTGGAGCATTAGTAAGTAAAACCATGGACACCAACTCCATGGATATGGATGCCGTACTGTACTTTACGTTTAAGTATGTGGGGTTAGGATTAGGGTTATAGTTATTTGTACAATTCCTAGTATGAATTATAATATATACATTGACTCTTCTATATGTACAGTCAGCTATTAACACTTGCACGTTTGACTTTTACAGATTTGAATTATTTACAAATTTGATTAAAATAGTTTCTCTAGGAATTTCTATGTCTCCAAAATCATTCTCTATTTAACTTATGCTGGAAATGGACCATAGAATTGCACTGAAGGACATAGAGATTCCAAGAAATAAAAGTTTAATCAAATCCAGAAATAATCATATTAGCAGAAGTTGCATCCACTGAGTGCTACTGGAGGACGTAGAGAAGAGAAATATTATCTCAGGTTAAAATGCAGATTTTTTATTCATGCTCTTTTCCATTTTTGAAGTAGCCCTGTGCCCCCAACCTCAGTGAATGTTGAGGGCTGACTGTAATATAGAATGTATATAATGTGGGTAATTCAAATGAAAATAAATGTACTGGTCAAACTCCTACTAAAAGGCAACACTATGACTCTGGAGTAAAGGTGTTATTCCTTGTGTTTGTTGGAAGAGGAATCATCTCATTCCTTTCACTGAGAAAGCTCCCCTTTTTAAATCTAGCACCTTACTCAGGAATTGCCTAATCAGGGGTTTTAAACTTAGCAGCCTGTGTTTGTCATTTGTCATTCGGCTAAAAGGATAATTTTCTGTGTTTGACAGGTCAGCGGATGTTATAATGATCTGAGTCATGTTTCTGTTGATTTTATAGAACAAACAAGGAGTATATATAGAACACCACTTAGAAACTCTTGAACAGATCCATTGGCACAAACTGTGGTGTTCTTTGAGTTAGCAACTGGGATCCAGAGTGAAAGCCAACATGAAATGTTTTCTGCTGATGATTGCACTCTATGGAGCACTGTCTTCTGCTCTGCCCTTAAACAAAGAAACTGATGATGTTTCAGAAAAGGACATGGAGATTGCCAAGGTAATGAATTATTGGAGATAGTAGTTGCTTGACTTAAGCAGAGTAGAATCCAGACAACAGGTTTACTATGAATGGATTATTTCTGTTATTGTTCTGTCCCTTCAAGTCAGCTTTGATTTATCACAGGACTTTTTTTGGCAAGATTTATTCCTGTAAGAATGAGAAAGCATCTTTCTCAAGTGGGTTTCTATTGTGTTTGGAGTTTTGAACCCTGGGCTCCCTGAAATTTAATCCAATGCTCTAACCATTATACTACACTGGTTCTTGGAAATAGATAACTATTATTTATTATTTTATTATTTATTTACTCCATTTGTATACCGCATTTATCAGCCTGGAGCGGCGACTCAATGCGGTTTACAGTAAAAATAAACAGTGAACAATATATAAGACGTACATCGACAAACAATACACATAATCATCAACGCCTACTTAGAATCAGATCCCGTTCTCATAGTCCTTAATTCAATCCTTGTTCAATGCCGTCATTATTGGGGTGGTTGTTACTGCATAGCTAACCGAATGCCTGCTCATAGAGCCACGTCTTAACCCTCCTTCGAAACACCAGCAACGAAGGGGCCTGCCTGATGTCCACTGGTAACGCATTCCATAGCCGAGGGGCCACTACCGAGAAGGCCCTGTCTCTCGTGCCCGCCAACCGCACTTGTGACGCTGGCGGGACCGAGAGCAGGGCCTCCCCGGACGATCTTAACGCCCTTGCCGGTTCATAGGTGGAGATGCGTTCTACAGCTAACTATTGAAGTTTGCCCACTAGCCATCCTGGTGAAACAATTTCTTCTGACAATTTCTGGCTAAATGATTTCCACTAGCTATCCTGGCTAGAGGATTCTGGTAGCTGTAATGAAAGGGGAGTTTTTCAACAAGTTACAGCCAATATCATCCTGTTTCTTATTTGGTTAAAGTGTTTGGAATATGGGAAATCTGGGTTCTAGTCCTGACTAAAATATATAAAAGCACTGCGTCATTTTTTTCTCAGTCCCCAAGGTTTGTTCCAAGGAAGGGAACAATACTTTGAGCTCAGTAGGAAAGACAAAGGCAACAATAACAAATAATATATATATAGTTAAGACTGTATTCCAGATACTTTGTAGTCCTTGTTGAATGGTTTAGGCGAGTCATTGTGTATTGCTATATCTATAAATTGGGAGCAAAAGATGGATGATCTTCCTCATGCTGAGCATAGGCAGGGCATTGTAAGAGACATTTTAAAATTGTATGTGTGTGTATATGCATATATATGAAAAACAATGTTTCCAGCAATAAAATATATGTCATATGTTCTTGACAGAAATACATGGAAAGCTACTATCCCGAATCAGAGTCAACACCTGTTTTGAGAAGTAAAAAAGGCATTGATAAGGAAAAAATAAAACAAATGCAGAACTTTTTGGGGCTGAAGGTAACAGGGAAACTGGATTCAAGCACTTTGGAAGCAATGAAGAAACCCAGATGTGGGGTTCCTGATATAGCAGAATATCGTACCTTCCCAATGTCTCCAAAATGGGAAAAGAAAGACCTGACATATAGGTAAGATTTCAAATATGCTTGCTTGATTGTAGATGTCACATGAAAATAATTGTTGTTATCACTTGGAAAAGTTGTTCTTAAAACTACAACTCTGAGAACTATTCCCCAACTGCTATTATTATGATGCTTGAGGGATTTTGGAAATTTAAGTTCAGGCTAGCCCTAAATCAACCATCATGATCAACCATGATGGATTGGTGACTACATGCACTGAGTTAAATCTTCTATAATAACAAGTTGTTGGTTGGTTAGGTCAATCAGATCAGCTCATCATTAGTCTCACTTTGCCTGTTCTTTTTGTCCTCATGTCGGTTTCACTAAGGATCTCTCTGTGAGAGCCTGGGCATCGTGGTCATATTTGCTGAAGTCATAATGGGGCACCCATATGATCAATAAGAAAAGGGGAGAGTGACAGACACGTTGATCACACAGCTCCATCTCCTTTTCTGATTTCAGCAAATGCAACCATGATGGTTAAGCTCTCCCAGAGTTCCTTGATAGTGAGAAGCAGTGGAGGAACAGAGGAGCAATCCATCTTCCTTGGAAAGAGTGATGGTAGCCGTATGTGTTGCGGACAATGGATCAGGTTGAAATTGACCTGATCCAGTTGTCCACATCACCACAAATCCTGAGGACACTCCAGAGTGTCATGTTTACTTTGCCTACCATGGAGCAAGTTTGAGTTAAAGGGTAGAAACTCTGATTCTTGCCAGAAGTCATTGTGCATTGTAAAGATTGCTAACACGAGCTTCAGGGAGAGTCTTTTTAAATCATGTAGTAGACTCACCCTTGGGTCTTTTGTGGGCATGTGGTTTTCACTCCCATTTTAACTGATACATAGGAGATTGTTGTGTGTGCATAATTTGTTGCTTGTTGTCATTGTTGCTTTTTAAATATATATCAACAGGTATATCTGTTGGGGAAAATATGACTTTGCTTTTAATGTCCATATGCATTCTGTTTCCTTCATTCTCAAGCCCTCAAATTTCTAGGATTGTAAAAAGCAAGATATTGAGGCATTCATACCTAGGCGTCTGAATGTGTTTATATGTATTCCTTGGTAACTTTGACTAACCCTTTTCTTTGGATGTATGTGATTGTAGTTTAAGCATTGCAATGATAGAAATTTAGGAATCAAGGGAAAAGGTGATATCAAAATGAATCAAGCAAACTTGAAGAATGATCCAATATGGAATGAGCACTTTCAGTGGCCAGAAAATGATAAACGTCAAAAACAAAACAAAACCTAGCTATTCTACATGATGGACTGACAATCCTTTTGTCCATCAAAGCAGGGATTGTTAACCTGCTCATCCTTATTTGCTACCACTGTTGTTTTCTTTCTTGGAAAATTTCCACAGACCAGCATGGTTGAGTAGAACTGATTTAGAGCAATTTTGGAAGACATCCTACACTGTATCCATACTGCAAAATTATCGCAATTTGTCGCTACGTAAATTATCATAGCTCTGTACTATGGAATTCTGTAAGTGATGGCTTTGTGAGATATTTTCTTGGCCAGAGATGTTTGGTGCTACAACAAACTATGAATGGCAGGATTCAATAGGAAGCCATGCAGTTAAAATTGTGTGAAACAGCTATAGTTCTGCAGTATGGATGGTCTCCTTGTTTCTCTGATCATTGATGTACCTCAGGGGCAGTCAACCGAGGCAGGGCCAGGGGAGTGAGGCTGTTTGGCCAAGGACTCATTTCATTTTATCCTTTGAAGTTTTTGTATTGATTTCTGTGTTTTTTCAGCGTAGATGCCCCTCCACAAATACTTAGTTCCTTCTTCTGTTTATTCTACAGTATTCAGAACTATACACCAGACATGGAGCGTGCCGATGTAGACAATGCAATTGAGAGAGCCTGGAAAATGTGGAGTGATGTAACCCCATTAACCTTCACGAGAGTTTCTGACAGCTCTGCAGATATAGAGATCTCTTTTGCTTCTAGATGTACGTAAATCACATGTAAAAAAAACCACCAGGAGATTTCTTCCAAAGTCTTGTTTGAGGTATTAAATGTATATTTTTCTTTTCTTTTTCAAAGATCATGGTGACTTTATTCCCTTTGATGGACAAGGTGGGCAGCTGGCTCATGCATATTCTCCAGCTTATGGTGGAAATGCCCATTTTGATGAGGATGAAACTTGGATGACATCTTCAACAGGTGTTTTTAGCTCTCTTAATATATTCAATGATGCATGATGTTTGTTATGTCTGTTAAAATTGACATCTATTAGGAAGTCCTTAAAAAAAAGCCCCAAACCATGTGATAGCATGTGATTACATTTGATCTTGGAAGCTAAGCAGGATCAACACTGAATACCAGGCACTGCAGGCTATTGTTCAGAAGATGGAACTCTAAAGCCATCTCTGAGTATTCCTTCAAAAAAGGTTCAGGAGACCTCTGGTCTTCTAGATATTTTTGTGCTACAGCTACCTTGCTGCCTGAGACTGGAAATTCAAATCTAACAAGAAGCAGAAGAGCACAATTCTTACTATTGGCATAAAGATATCAGAAGGTCTATAGTAACTGTTTCAAATAAAACCAATAGTACTAATCATGTTTAAATGACTCCTGATCAGCCGAAGTTACTTGTCAAATCCCCTCTACCTTTTTCCGGCAATAAACGGTGTCTGAAAAAAACTGGAGTGACTTTATCAATATTTGTAGTTTCTGAAATATTGAAATTTAATAAAAAATAAAGCATTAAAATGCATTTTGGCATGTTTTGCTGTCAATCTGATGGATAGTGAGTGATGTTTTGATTTGCACTTTGGTTTGGGAGTTGAAGTGGGTCATTTTGAATGCAATTTGGCTTGCATATGTTTTCTCACTGTTTTCCAGCCAAAGTCAAGTGCTCATGCTCTTCCTATTTCCTTTTAGGAATCAACCTTTTTATTGTTGCTGCCCATGAGTTTGGTCATTCCCTGGGTCTTTATCATTCCAGGGAGTTGGATTCATTGATGTTTCCAACTTACCAGTTTGGGGACCCCGAAACATTAACGCTTCATAGGGATGACATCGAAGGCATCCAGCATCTGTATGGTAAGTGAAAGTTTTCAGATGAAAGTCTGGATTAATTATGCATGTAAGCATTACATTGAATAGCAACATGAGCTCTCTTTGGGCAGTGTTGTGATATTTGACTCAGGTGGGTCTGCTACAAAAATGGATTATCTAGATCAGAATTTTCCAATCTGTGTGTCACGAATTGTTAGTGTGTGCCAGCTACAGTGTGTACATTTACAAGGAGCTGGTTTAACCTCCAGTTTGCTAGTAAAATTGAATTACTGTGTCACAAAAGGATGCATGTCTAACAAGTGTGTCATCAAGATATAATGTTTGAAAAGCTCCAATATTGATTTGCTTCAGTCTGGGTTCAAGCCTGGTTAAGAGACAGAGACAGCTTTAGTTGCCTTGGTGGATGGCTTACAAAAGAGAACAGAGAGGTGGAATGCATTCCTGTTGCTTTTGCTGGACCTTCCAGTAGCCCTCAATTATATTGACCATACTATCTTCCCTTGAAAATCCATTTTTTTCCCTTCCTGTTATTTTTTTTTTTTTTGCCAGCAAGTAAAGACATGTAACTGTTTCTCAACTTTGGTAGTAAACAATTTAAATTGCATTGTATTTTTAAAATCCCAAGCTTGGAGAAAGGAAAAGTATAAATTATTTTAACAAATAAATGTCATCTGAAAATGAGAGAGTTAGTCATGGTTCAAAAGAGAAACACTTGGCAGAAGGTCAGCCTCTGATAATGTGGTATGATGTGTGTGGTTGTGTGTATTTTCTGGGAGAGGGAAGCCTTCCCTTCCTGTCTATAGTCCATGAAAGCAATCACAACTCATAGATTCCAGTGCAGTTTAAAGAAAAATAATGGATTGTATAGGTCTATTCTAGCTGAGAGGAGCAATTGGATTTAGGCTTTAACCTTACTGAAGTGGCCCACAAGTATTACAGGTGTGAAGGTTTTCAATGCAAATAGTATTTTATTTTGAATCTCAAGAGGAATTAAATTGTTACTTCCATTGAGTCTATCAATTCAAAGAAATCAATGCTAAAATTCAATTGTCCATCCCAGGTAGAGTACACTCATTGAATCAATACAGTTTGGTAAGCCAACACTGAGATACGTTCCATAGCACTCAAACATAGGCCCAAGTGTCTTCCAATACCTTTGCACTGCAGCTTTGTACATGTTTTCAGCCTTCAATTCTTCCCTTTATGATGTTTTAAGGACCCCCTGAAGAAGACAATGGTGAACCAGAAAACCCAACAGAAAATAACGAACAATTGTTGGCAGATTCATGTGATCCTAATCTGACTTTTGATGCTGTTGTCAGTCTCCGAGGAGAAACCATCTTCTTTAAAAATAGGTAAATGATGTCTAAATGGATTGGCACTTTCCGTTCTAAGTTTTAAAAAACCCTTTTCTGGGGCCTTCTGTACTTGTCGTTTGGGCTCTACCATTGTTTCTCACTAAACATTTAAGGTTTCTTTTCCCAACTTCCACAGATTTTTCTGGCGAAAAAATCCATTGAGAAGAGAGATTGAGAAAGATCCTATTTCTGCTTTCTGGCCAACTTTGAACCACGGCATAGATGCTGCTTATGAAGATGAAGACAACGACACAGTCTTTCTATTTAAAGGTAAATGTTCTGGCATTAATTCAATTGTTAATCCTAGTTAGAGAACACTCATTGAATCAAAAGGATGTACATGTTTTGATTTTTCAGTCAATAACAGTGTAACTACACGAGTTCATTATAGCACTTTGGTATCACTTTAACTACATGACTTCAGCCCAGGGCAGGCATGTAGACGGGGGGGGGGGACACTTGAGGGGCTTCAGCCCCCCCCCCTTCCAAATTCTCAGGATTGTCCGCGGGAAGGCCTTACTGGTACATTATTGAAACTGTTATGTTTATTCATATCATGATGTGATCACCATGCTCAATATATCCCATATGCATGGGGGTACTGGGATAACAATACAAAAGGTTTGCTAGGGTAGATCCTCACCCCCCACCCCCCCACCCCACCCCTGAATCAAAATCCTGGCTAAGAGTCTGGCCCAGGTTATAAGAAGTTTAAACCAAAAGCTCTAGTTCCTCACCAAAGTTAAAATCCCAAGATTCCATAGGACAAAAGCCTATCATGAAACTGAACTTTGCAGTGTGGATGTGCCCTGAAGCAATGTGTCTACTGTTTGGAATTTCCAGTTCTGGTCTCAGGAGTCTTGAATATCCTGTTTTCACAGAAGAATGTCCTATTATTGACTAGAATGTGCTATGAAAATGTCAATAGGCTTAAGTTATCAAATATTATTTCACAAAACCTTGTTTGTGAAGACCAAGACATTTTCCTATTAGTATTAGTGTCCAAATGTATCTTCCCCTTTGAACCACCTCTGAGATTAAGAATCTCTGGGGAGGCCCTGCTCTCAGTCCCGCCTTCCTCGTGGGGATGAGAGACAGGGCCTTCTCAGTGGTGGCTGTGGAGCTCCCTCCCTAGTGATATTAGATCAGCCCCCTTCCTCCTAGCCTTCAGAAGGAAAGTAAAAATTTGGCTCTGGAATCAGGCTTTTGCAGAATAGTGCAGTGCAATAATAGTCTTGGATTATGTGCAAAGACTATGGAACAGCTTTGGACCACAATTTAGGGATGGTGTGATTTTAATATTGAATGTAATGTTTTAAATGCTTAATATATATTAATTTTAATTTAATTTATTTTAGACTAGTATGTGTCTTAAGGCATTGAATAATTGCCATATGTACTTTCAAGGTCCCTATGTGTCCCATAAAGGAAGAGATTGGTAGTGATCATTAATATGAAGCAGTCATGAGTATCTAACTCTCACTTTTGTATCCACCCAATGGGATTTGTATCCACCCAATTTGTATCCACCCAATGGGATTTCAGCCACTCATTTAACAGACCTTTAGTTCATCCTCGTGCAAGACTTTCCTGGGTTTTTTTCCTTATAGGACATAAATATTGGGCTACCAAAGGAAACATTATTCAGCCAGGTTTTCCAAAGAACATCCACAGCCTGGGTTTCCCCAAAACTGTGAAGAGCATTGATGCAGCTTTTTATGATAGAAGCTCAAAGAAAACATACTTCTTTGCTGGCAGCAATTACTGGAGGTAAGAAAAACTATACACTTCCCAGATTACCTGAAAAATGAGAGCTAATATGCTGCTGTGTTAGGTGTGCTAGATTGGAATTTGGGAAATCCACATTTGTGTCCTCCACTGAGCCATGAAACTCATTGGGTGAGTTTGGATCTGTCAACTCCCTTGCAGTGTAATCCATCTCATTTTTTTGTTTGCATAAAATTATACATATAGATATATTCAGCATCTTGTGCATATTAAAGGAAGGGGGATAAATACATTGCATATTTACTAACAGTCCTGGAACTTCATTTCTAAATTCTATGAATTCCTTGCAACTGAAACCTAAAGAACATACTATGCATCCTGAAATCAGTTACATGTCTTGTGAAGATCCCATTTTATTCAGCCTCCATGCTCATAATTTCTATTGTCCTCTGGTGTCTTTTGCTGGTAATGATGTGCATTGGGCTTTGGAAATTGACCAAGCCAAAGCCGCATCACATTGCTTTCTTCTCAGACATTTGTCCTGTGCCCTAAATTGCAACCCTGCGTATGCTTGCAATAAGACCCAATGGGTTCAGCTTGTCTTACTTGAGAGTAAATATAATTAATGTTAAACTGCAAGTCTAAAAGAAACCCATTCCCATTTATATAACAGCAAGTCATGAAATTCCAGAAAACAGAATACAGTTATGACAATAGCTGAGAAAATGATGCCACTCAGGCTAATGCACATGGCCTTTGGTAAGCTTGAAGTGGATCTATACTACAGCAGTTTATCAGTTGAATGCCACTTTAGAGGTCACGGTTTCATCGTATGGGATTTTTAGCTTGGTGAATAATGTAAAAAGACTTTTACCAGAGAGTTTGCCAACATACAATCCTAAGTACCTTACCAAAATGTAAATCTTAAAATTCTGCATGAAAAAGCTATGGCAGCCAAAGTGGTATTGTTCTGCTATGCTTGTGTTGTATTGATATACTCCAGAAACTTCATCTGCCACATTATACATGAGAAGGGAGTCAAAGTCTTAGAATATAGTTAATATGGATCAGAGGAATATCAACACATTAAATGTCACAATTTTGTTGATATTATGTGTTCACCCACATATACAGGTTCATATGTAAATGGATTAGATGTTGTTTTCTCTTAAGTTCCTATTAGGGATAGTTACGATGCAGGATGTAACTATCTTGTTACAGCATTTAGGGATAGTTACGATGCCAGTAAATCTTCAGCATATTAATTTCGTTAGATATGACAAAACCAGGAATTCCATGGAGAACCCAAGGAGCATTGAAACTGAATTCCATGAAGTTGGTCCTCAAGTGGATGCTGCTTTTCTGCATAATGGTAAGCGGAAGATGATTTTAAAGGTATTACTGTACTGAACTGAAAAGATGGAAGAGAGCTTGGATTTCTTCAAATCCAGGAGTGGGAATCATGTGAGCCCTCCAGATGCTGGTGAACTATATATCCCAGTGCTTTCCACTATTAGCAGTTAGGCCAGTACCACCTGAATTCGCATTTCAGAAAAACCCGAAGAGCTCCATAATTCCCATTCCTGGTCTACTCCAGCCCTTTGGTTGGTGCAAGTTCCTCAATGTAAGATTCATATGCAAAATCTATAGCTGATAGTTATCTCCTTTCTAGCCCCTTTTCAGATATATGTAGTGAAGAACTCACTAAATCAACAGTCTTTTGTTGTTAACAGATGTGATGATATCTATAGAAAACTTTAACTAGAAGGAATTGAAAATATTTCCCAGATTCTAGTCTATTAGATTGCAAAAGGTAGTGATATTATGAATATAATATCCCCATAAAGCAGTCCAATGTGGAATGAATTAATTCAGTGGCCATATAATATCTGATCACTACATATAGTATGGCTTGAATTGAGAATCGGGAAGCAGGGCATGCTCAGTTTCCATTAAATTTTGTTGCAGGTTCTATTGGTAATAATAATAACCTTTTGTGAGAGAGATGGAAACTTTTTCACTTTATTCTCCATACTCTCATCACTTACTTGGTTATATACCAGCCAAATGTAGCAGTGTAGCATTATTCAAATGTGTTCCGTTGATTAAAGAAGTATCCATTAAATTTAGGAGCATTAAATATGAGGAATAATTGTTTCACTGTTGGTCTAGGACTCTGGGATACCAGAGTTCGAATCCTTCCTGAAAATCCCCTGGGTGTCCTTGGGCAAATCACATTTTCTCAGCCTCAAAGGAAAATAATGACAAACCTTCTTTGAACAAATCTTGCCAAGGAAGCCTGGCGATAGGTTTATTCAAGGGTTTTCATAAGTTGGAAAACATCTTAAAGTAGACAACAAGAACAACAACAAATACCTCTAGCAAAAAAAAATCATTTGACCTGAATGTAAAAAACATATAGGCTGATACTTGCAAATGCCAGCCTCCCCAAATGAACATGCAGATTTGATCAAACTATTATTCTTTCCCTGCCAATGTATATGCACAGGTTTATAGGTATATTCTAATTCACAGCTTATGTACACAAAAACAAGCAAATATTTATATTGGAACCATCAAGAACCATGTCCTATTGAACTGATCCTGTTAATTTACTTCTGTCCACACTAGGGTAGACAGGTCCAGATGTATTGGTTATTATTATTATTATTATTATTATTATTATTATTATTATTATTATTATTATCATTATCATCATCATCATCAACAACAATATTCTATCCTTTCTATCCCCAGGATTGGGATTCAAGATGGCATACAAATTAAAATGATGGAAATACACTAAAACATATGGCAAACACTTTGAATCACCAGGCATGCATAAAATTTTGTCCATTTGATCAGATGATCTATAATATATTATACCAATATTTTATTTAAATAAAAACAAAGCAGGTTGGTGGGGGGCAGGGAGATGAATCTTTCATAATAAGATTTCTGGGTTTCCTGGCCCTGTTCAATTTATAATCTTTTCCCTATTCTTTTAGGACGCATCTATTTATTCCGTGGCTCACTGCAATATGAATATGACAGCAGAACCAACCAGTTTCTTGGCAGAAAGAAGACCAATAGCTGGTTTGGCTGCCACTGATGTTTGGGCAAGAAAGAGAGAGAAGTCACTGAAAAGAGCGGGATCTCTTTTTCTTCACACACCTAGCCCTGTTATCTTGGTTACTCTTTCTTTCTAATTTTTGTGAATCAAAGAAAAATGTGCAGATTGTTACCTCAGACTATTTATTCATTTCTATGATGCCAAATAATAAAGTGATTTATCTTTCTATAAGAGGTTGCCATGGTTTGTTTTAATTTGGATCAAGGAAAAATATAAATTCAAGCACTGTATAACAAAAGAGGGGACATTATCTAGACTAGAGCTTCTTAAACTTTTATACTCAAGATTCCTTTCCACCTGAATTTTTTTTTACATGACCCTGGGTATAAAGGTGTATAAAATAAGTATAAACATAAAAAATACTGATAATATATCAGCATTTGCGAAACTTGCCAAACAGGCTGATTTTTCTTTTTATGAATTACACTGAAGCATCTTCCAGAGAGTCCACTGTAAACACTGCACAACAGATTCATATAAATGCCTAAAACAGCCACTAAGGACCTCATTCCAAGATGGGGGGGGGGGTTGCATTCTTACCTTGCATTTCGTTCCGTTCTGTTTATAAGGAAAATGAATAATATATTCACATTCATCATACGCAATGTACTTTCATCTGTGTATACTGTAATCCTCCCTGTTCTGAGCGATCACACGGCTGAGTGTAGTACCCACCCTTTCTGTATTCTGCATTCTTCATCTTTTTTAAAAAAGGGAAATTGCAGAACTCCAAAATCTAGGTTCTGCAAAGTTGAGACCTGGGGGCCTCAACACTGAGCTAAGGTGACTCCATTTAGTATCTGGACCCACAGTGTAAGAAGCAGTGATCTTAACATCTCCTTTTCCAAAAATTCATATTTTCCTAATCATGACTGATCCTACTAACAGATAGGGGGTAGCAATTGAAGCTTTTTAGTCATTCCACTGTGTTACAAGATAGGACAGCATGGTCGAGCACTGCTCTTCAGTTTGATGGGGTTTGCAATTCCCTTACCTGTCTGAAAAGTCTTGCCAGATTGAAAACAGAGTGGGGTGGGGGTTCACAGAATCATAGAGTCGGAAGAGACCATAAGGGCCACAAGCAAATTTTGCACAGCAAATTTTGCAAATAAGGTCCAAAAACTGTTGAATTTGGAGACCTTCTTAAAGTGGGAGAAAATTGCTAATAATTATTTATTATTTCATTTTAGATAAAAATTAGTGAAGAATCACATCTCACAACATCATAGTGAAACATTTTCTTTCATAAATGTCTTGTTTATATAAAGGGCATGTTTATTATTGCCTCACCAGTTGGTAATTACAACTTCCCCCAGAATATACAGAAATCTATGTGTGTGTATTTACACAGCTATCACCTGAAGATATCATTTAGGCAGGTGAAGACAAGCAGTCTGATGCCACAGGAATCCATGACATTAAATATTATGAACCGGGCACTTGGCCAAGCAATTAAAGAGAGATAATTGACACACTCAAGTGAGCATCAAATGTGCTGTCAGTACTAGCCAAAACCATAGGAATGGAGCTAAACTTAAGAGTTTACATTACAAGAACAACCCTTTCTGTAGATCTCTGAGTAAACTAATGATAACATTAGTACAGGTATGCTAGAGACAGGTTTTTGCATGCATTCTTTATCTTGTTTTGCAATGGTTTCCTGGCTGTATTTCTGTCTCTGTTCACTAATAAAACTAGGAACATAAGAAAAAATCAGATGGAAACCCTGAAACCAAAAGAAGTATTTGCTAGTGAATATAATGTGCAGCAACAAAAAGTGAACACTTTTAATTTGAACAAAAAATGTGAGCATTACAGCAGTGGTGTGCTTATAATTCCTTCTTTAAAAACAAAAGGGTTAGACCACCAAAGCTTTCAGCAATGGAAAAGACAGCCTTGAGGTGCATCTATGCTTTAGAATGAAGCCACATTAACTTTAACAGTATTTGTTTTGGGATCATGAGGGCTGCCAAAGAACGCTGATTCCTCACCAAACTAAAAATCCTAGCATTTATAACATTGAACCATGGTCATCAAATGAGAAATGTCCCCTAAATAGGAGCTTCATGTTCCTGAAGTAGTTTCCCCTTTTGATTTGCCTCAGCACTAACACTGACATGTTACGTGAATCAAATGTGCACTTTATTTTTGGGAAAGTAATTTAGCCAAAAAAGGTGAGCATTAGATTTGAGTAAATATGGTACCTCTGCATGCTTCTGAGCCTCTTCCTTCTTCCTTTCTATAGGAACTTTCACACAGTACCTATAATTTGGGAGAGAATGGGTTAAAGGTGGGGTGGCCAGATGACATTTGTGATAGATGCGCATTCAATCACAGCAATTGAAGAAAACCCCAACTCAAAAAGGTCTTCTTTTCTCCTGGGTGAAAAAGTAGATTTTCCTATGACTGTGTGGCCCTGCAGTCATGTAAAGTTCGGGATTTCTCTCTTCAGCCCCTTTGGAGTCTTGTTCCTGCCCATGTTGGTTTTAAAAACCCTGAAACAGCTGATCAGCTGTTCAGGCTCCCATGGAGACAAAGCTGGTTTCCAGCTGGTTTCAAGAGGAGGGACACAGAGAGCCATTAGAGGTCTCTGAAAGTGTTTATTTTAAACTTTATAATATTAAACAAGAAATTAGGAAAAGAGGGAAATCTGGAGGCAATTTTCAAAAAATAATTCCCACCATTTTGCACTGACGCTCATACAATATCATATAATAGGTTTCTGTTGTCCAGAAGGTTTTCTAACTCTATCTCCTAGAGTCCTGCTACCTTGTCACATGCACCGCCAGTATTGTCAGAAGGTGTGGGGAACTATCGCCCCCATATCTTGCACCATTCCAGATTTCTCCCTCCCCATCAAATGGGAGGAAGCATCTGCCAGCCAGCTTGCCACATTGAGGGCAATGCAACACTGAGCAATCCTCACAACCTCTGAGGATGCTTGCCACAGATGCAGGTGAAACATCAGGAGAGAATGCTTCTAGAACATGTCCATACAACCCGAAAAACCTACAACAACCCAACACAGGAAGTGTTTTATGTTGCTGTTGGAGGCTTTTTTCCGGTGATGACTCCAGTTCCACCGCTGTTTTGCCCCAAAAGTACTTCTTCCACTTCTCCCACTTCTGTCACAACTGGAGTTGCTGCCAAAATTTGCCATGTATGGTCAAACCACTAAATTGTGCTGAGATAAAGAACCCAGGAAACTGGCTGATGGATGGAGTGATGCAACACAAATTCATATAAAGTGTAATATACCAGGAAGTTGCTTGTTCCATGTTAAGGAGGAAGTGATCCCATAATTCTATATGCTCAGTGTTCTTGAGTTAAAAACGAACTGAACTACTGGAAGGTTGTTGAATGATGGATAGCAAATGGGTCATTTTCTACATGTTCTATAGTATGAAATTCTAGTTCTGAACCAGTGACACCAGAGACACTATGCTATTTTTGTTCAGTAAACCGCACATGACAATTCGCAGTGATGTCACCAGGGTTGATGTCATCCAGTGAGATAACTCATGGAGTCAACCCATGGACCTCCTGCCACACCAAACCATACAGAATCCTGTTCCTTACTCTGAAATATAGCCTACAGTACCTAATATTTATTGCCAGTCTTTCATGCATGTTGATCCTGCTTAGCTTCTAAGATTAGATGGGATCTGGTATCTTAGGGATTTCCCTGAAATATATTGCCCAACTCCCTCTATGTAAGACAGCTTCAGACACAGGGAAATAGTAAAGAATGGCCCTATCAGGAAGATCAACTCAGTGGTGCAGTCAGGAGATTTTCCCCACTCCTAGCCCCTTGCATTGTAGCATTGTATACATCTGCAAGCCCTGACCCCACTCTTGCACAATAGTAGTAAGGGAATTACTGCATGAGGACACTGTATCCCAGGAAAATGTCAGGCCAAATTGAACCCACCTATTTTCAGATGTAACAGAGGCTCTGCTGCCTGGCACCTACTCACTCAGTCTTTCCCAGCCTCTCTCAATATTAAGCTTTCAGTGAGGTATTCCTCTTCCCAATATTCTTCTGTGCTTTCCTTGGGCAGCAAGCATAAGAGAGGGAAGAAGGGAAAATAGCTATGTGAGGTGACACCAACCAGTACATTTTGCTGGTGCAGGAGGATGTGCAGCTGCATGATCAGTAGGAACAGAGGTGAAGCTATGGAGCCTGGCCCTGCTGAGGGGTCAGCAAAGACCACTATGGCCACCAAGGTGAATCCAAGCATAGAACCAAACTATACATCTGCATCTTCAAGGGGAGTGTGACTGCATCCAGCACAAAATAAATCCTTATTTATAGACCTACCTTTTGACTAATAAGCAGGGCTGGACCTACACAGCCATATAATCCAGTTTCTGAATCCAGATTATCTGCTTTGAACTGGGTTACATGAGTCTAAACTTCTCCAGTTCAAAGCAGGTAATCTGGATTCAGAAACTGGATTGCATGGCAGTGTAGATGGAACCTAGTACTCTATTTTATCTGGATTATGTTTCAATTTGTTCAACTTCACTCAATGTACTACTAATAGGTAATGTATCACCTAAATAAAAAGTCAAATATTGCTGATTGCTCTTTAAGCCTATCTACACTTGAAACCGCTCTGAGTCCTATGAGGGAGAGAGGGCAGCATATAAAACAAAGTAAATAAAATCAACAAAATAAAAGTTGAAAGAAAATCCTAATTTACCCCCATAGTTTTCCATCTATGTACACCCCACATTTGCCACATTAGGCCATCATACAACCAGGTTGAATTTGTTTTAAGCTTCCACACAGGGCCCTTGCGTTCCAGGATCTCAAAGTGAATTTGCTTTTGAAAACCTCCTCCCATTTGTATCATCATGCATGTAAACATTAATATTTCCATTTAAAGTGTCTTTAGCTATCCTGCTATGCAGAGCTACCATAGACTCACTTTTTTTTTTGTCGTGTCAGGAGCAACCGCTCCTGTTGTGAGAGAATTGGCCGTCTGCAAGGACGTTGCCCAGGGGACGCCTGGATGATTTTTTGATGTTTTATCATCTTTGTGGGAGGCTTCTCTCATGTCCCTGCATGAGGAGCTGGAGCTAATAGAGGGACCTCATCCGCCTCTCCCCAGATTCGAACCTGCGACCTATCGGTCTTCAGTCCTGCCGGCACAGTGCTTTAACCCACTGCGCCCCCGGGGGCTCCTACCATACACTTACTGTATGATACTGACATAAAAATCTGTATACAAGTTCCTTTTTAATAAACATAGATATAAATATACTAATATCAGCAGCAACTTGTTGTGGGCAGCCACATTTTAAAAATGTAACTCATTCTGATCTTAAACCAGAATGTGGTATTAAAGGCCATTCTTTTTTGAAGTGTTTTAAGGGCAGATTGGTATATGAACCATCCTAAATGTTTTGCATTAGGATAGCAGCCAATACGGGGTGAGCATGAGGTGTAAACAAGCTCTTTGTATCAGGAAACTAGGAGAAATTCTCAGTTGGCAAATCTCAAAGAAGTTATATATTTCAAAAGTATATTAGATGCTTTAAACATCAGAGGTACCATTACGGAAATGATTCATGAGTGATGACCTCTGGTAATTTTCACTGATGTAAAAAATCTGAACTAGATGGACCAATGGGCCCAGTACCATATAAGGTTGTTCTCTATAATCTTCCTTCTCAAAGAAGAATTCTTAGAAAATCTGATGGCCATGAGCTTATGGCCATGAGTAGATGTTCTGAGTCATGATTCTATTGGTTTGAGAAGTATATATATAGAGAAGGACTTGAGATGTGCAAACAGATTTATTTAGGACACAGAAGAAGACATCAAAATGAAGTGCTTTCTACTAATCATCACACTCTATGGAGCACTTTCTTATGCATTGCCTGTACCTCGGGAAGCTGAGGACATTTCAGAGAAGGACATGGAGCTTGCCAAGGTAATGTCTGAGGGCATTGGATGATGGTGGTTTCAGGGAAGAACTATGATGCATCACTAAACAATTAGTTGAACTGTTAATGGGCAATCTTATTCTTAATATAATTCTCTTTGTTGTTATATGTTAATGCAGTGACAGTAGTAGTTACGTGGCCCTCCATATGTTGTTTGACTGCAACTCCTAGCATTCCTTCCTATGTGCTATGCTGAGTAGAACTTCTGGGAGTTGCATTTAAGCAACATCTGAAGCGTTATGTGATGCCCGCTCCTGGACTAAAAAATATTTATTTATTTTGAACTGTACCCCCAGAATCTCACACCAAACATGCTGGTTAGGAAATTAATTTTGCTTCTTTGAATTTATTTTTTAAATATCAACTTTATGCCAATTGTTTTTTTTAAAGTTGCAAATGTTTTTAATAAACTAAACATAATGTTGTCATTTCAATTCAGGTTCCAACTCCATCACAGAGGTTGTGCTTGACATCTCTAGGCTTTCAGAATGTGTTGAAATACAACTCCCATCATCCCTAGCCAGCAGAGTCACTAGATTACTTTCATTCCCACTTAGATCAAATTAATATCTGTTGGATTCAGTTCCTGGATCTGTAAAATAAGTGGAAGAGAGAGTTTACCGAGACTTCTGAAAAAGCTCAGTTTTGATAATTTCGTGTTGCTGTTGATTACCTTGTGGGAAAGATGCAACAGGGAGACTTGTTATGAAGATAACAGAGCACAACTCAGGAAGTCTGTGAAAAGGAAGGGGGAGGGATAGGAAAACAGTATGTATTAAAAGGCAAAGGATTGCCTCTGAGAAAATTCATAAAGCATTTGAACTGGCACTGACAGGGTTTGAGATTGACAGAGAGAGGATTTGAACTGATAGAGGCAGGATTTTGGATTTGAGGAAGAAGGGAGAACTACCTATGGATTTGGGGAATTTAAGATTTTATTGGTTATTATATTTTTCTACTATATTTAATAAACCTATTCTTATTGTTTTCAAACTCTTTCTGGCTTTCTATCAAGCCTGAATCAAAGTAATGCCATATGTATCAAAAACTTTAGAACAAATGCCCCAAGTTCACATTCAATACAGCCCCAAGCTGACATTCAATAGATCCTCCTAAGGGCCAGTAACTCAATTCAGAAAAGGAATAATTGGGGGAACAGGGGCAGAGTGAGTGACAGGAGTCCTAGAGGTGGGTGTTTTGCAACCAGCATAATAGGATCTGTCATTGCTTGATTTAGAATTAATGTTATACTATCCTCCTTTGTAAAAGGATCCACCTCTTGGGCAAAACGATAGTCTAGAAATACAAACACACAATTAATAGCAGAATATGTCAAAATTGTATATAAAAATATTTTACTGGGCTAATGCATCTGTCTTCCCATCAGAAATACATAGAAAAGTACTATCCTGCATCAAAGCCAACAACTGGATTTCGAAGCCGAAGGAGTGTCCCTACTTCAAAGATAAGGCAAATGCAGGAATCTTCTGGATTGAAAGTAACTGGCAAACTAGATCTGAGCACATTGAAAGCAATGAAGAAGCCCAGATGTGGGATTCCCGATATTGGAGACTTCAGCACTTTCCCTATGTCTCCAAAATGGGGAGTAAAAGACTTGACATATAGGTAAAAAAACAAAACACTTTCTTCGACTTAAGATATTGCCTGGTTGTTGTGAGAGATTTAAGCCATTACATTTTGGACTTCAGCTCCAATAACTGCCCAGTCATGATAACTCAGAAGATTCTAAGTGTTCTAGTCAAAATCAAAAGGAATTTCATCTTTGATGCTGCTGCAACAAATGTCTATATGTTTGTATGATCATGCACCATCCATGAACAAGAAGGTATGATCAAATTGAAGGAGGGCTTCTTTGTGATTTGGGGCATAAATTGACCAAATATTGTGGTGATTTAGGGAAAAAAATTGAAGGTGTTGTGGGGCACAGAGGAACTGCTAAAGGCTTTAGAGACTGCAAAAGTGGGACTCAAGGGTCACTTTGTCCACTTCTGCTCTCGGTAAAACCAGAGATAACTGGAAGATTAGAGCTAAGGTTTTTAGTTGTAATTTTCTGCTAAAATAAAGTGGAATCTGACACTTTATCTAAAATACTTTACTGATTCTTAGATTCTTGGATAGAATGTGAATCACTGATAGTGCTAAGTCCCAGTGATTAACACTCTGGAGATTGTAAAAGCAATATATAATAATCTAGAGCAGGGTTTCTCAAAGTGTACTCCATGGAGCCCTTGGGGCTCCATGAAGCATACTGAGGGGCTCCATGGTTTCCTCCTCCCCCCTCCTCCTCTCCCTGCAAGGCTTTTCTTCATCTTTCCTGCTCCTCCACCTCCCCACTTCCCTCACTGCCAAAAGCCTTTTCTCTTCATTTCCCTCACCCCCAAAAGTCTTTTTTATCACCTTCTTTGCTTCCAAAACAATTTTTCTTCCACCGCTCTGGGGGTGCTTTGATTGTGCTTTTCCTGCATAGCAGAAGGGGGTTGAACTGAATGGCCTGAGGGGACTTCCACTGAAACTATTAAGTTAATGTTGGTCGAAAAGTTTGCCCATGTCTGATATAATATAATTTATTGGAGCTCCATGAGAACCTTTTGCTTCAAAAAGGGCTCTGCAGCTGAAAAGGTTTGAGAACCCCTGATCTAGAGACATGTTTCCCCTTACTTGGATGATAAATGGTTTGAAAAATGTGGAATCCATTTTATTTCAAATATTCATTTCACACACTTCCATTTATATCTCAGTATTCAGAACTACACACGAGACATGGAGCCTGCTGATATTGATGACGCAATTGAAAGAGCCTGGAAAATGTGGAGCGATGTGACCCCACTGACTTTCACCAGAGTCTACAATGGCTCCGCAGATATAAAGATCTCTTTTGTAACTGGGGGTAAGTAGAGCACCTTTGAGAGGAAGAAATATTTTTTCAAGGTCTTGGCTGTGAAATTTAATGTATCGCTTCTTGCTCTCACTCTTTTTTTCAAGATCATGGTGACTTTCGTCCCTTTCAAAAAGGTGGTGAGGAGTTAGCTCATGCATTTTCGCCTGCATTTGGTGGAGAAGTCCATTTTAATGATGATAAGGACTGGACAAAGGATTTGACAGGTAATTTTTCTTTAACCTGTATTCATATGTGTATATTATTCGTTATGCCTACTAAGATGTTATTAACTGCAAAATATCAGGGCAAAGGAACCATTCAAGTCTCAGAATGCTTTGAATTTTTGAGTTTTGCAAAAAGATTCTCAAAATGTCATTCTTAGTTTTATGGTCTATTTATTGTTTGTTTATTGTTTGGTATAAAGACAGTTTGATAAACTTGTAGCTGTCCAGGTGTTGTTGGGCTATACCTCTCATAAACCCTGGCTCTTAGAACGGGCAGGTTCTAATGGGGATTCAAATCTAACAGGTTAGTCATCACTAGAATAAAATAATGGAGGGTCAAACAAATTCATTAATTTCTAAGCTAACTTATTTCTATGTCTCTTCGTGCATAAGGGAGTTCAATATTGTTCTGTATAAAGGTACAACTTACTAAAACATGAATAAAATGGGTATTTAGTGTGCATTCAAAGGCTTGATACATTATTGTGCCCAGAACTGTGGCACAATATTAGGAAAACTGCACATTCCAGTGGGCAGTGATGTGCTGTTCTTCAATTTGGAAAGTGCAGAGTGTATCTACACTGTAGAATTGATGCTGTTTGGCACCATTTTAACTACCATGGGCCAATGTGATGAAATTCTAGAATTTGTAGTTTTGGTTAGCCAACAACCTGCTTTGGCAGAGACCCAGACACTAATGTTTCCATAGCATTGACCATGACAGTTAAAGTGGCATCAAACTGTGTTACTTCTACAGTGTAGATGCACCCTGGTTCATTCGGAACCACAGTTTTAAAAGGTCACAAGACATTATAAAATACTCTGTTTATTAAAATTCCATTCCAACAAAACAATAACAATACACATTGCAAGCAAAAGGCAAGCAAAAATCCTATAGTGATGATGGTGATAACAACAGCATGAGAAACAAATAGGTACACGTACTTATACAATATTGGGGTGGGGGCATAGAATTAAAAAGAAGACTTTCTACTTTTCCCTAAATGATACATATTTTAATGATACATTAACCTCCACTGTCATCCTCCAACTCCTTGTGAACAAGACTTAATTTTCGCAGATGCCATTCTTCTCCCTCTCTCCCTCAAATATACAAAAAACCCTAAGTTCTAGTCTTCCAGAAAGTTATCTACTGATCCTTCAACATATTTAATAACTGATTTTTGCCGTGTCAAATAGTTTTTGTATCTAGTTATTCACCAAAGTGTTCTCTATACTTTTCCACAACTGTGCATGAATTATTCTGACTAAGGTGACCATACACATTTATATTTTTTCATATTAATATTTTATCTAACCATTAAACAATCCTAATAAGAAAACTGCTGGCTTAAATGGTAATTTGAATTTGAATATGTTAATTTCCCTATGAGTTTGCTTACAAAATGTATTTGCTTTATCACAAGTTGATCTTAAATTCTGTGTCCATTTTATCATGTAGTCTTTTATTGTTGAAGGCTTTTATGGTCGGAATCACTGGGTTGCTGTGAGTTTTCCAGACCTCTGAGGATGCCTGCCATAGATGTGGGTGAAACATCAGGAGAAAATGCTTCTGGAACATGGCCATACAACCTGAAAAATTCTCAGCAAAATTCTCAGCAAAAAAAATTCTTCTTCCTCTATAGCTAAAAAATTGTATGATTTAGCAATCAGATGTTTTTATTTACACATAGTAACATAGGGTGGTGGGGAATCTTTTGGGTGGAAACTATAAAATTTCTCACAAGATTTTCAAACAGCTTTACTCATGTGCAATTTCTCATGTTCTTACAAGGAAGTAATTTCAAAAGCATTGATGCCCTTCCTGTTTTCTTTTAGGCACTAACTTTTTTATTGTTGCTGCCCATGAATTTGGCCACTCCCTGGGTCTCTATCATTCTAGTTTTCTGAAGGCTTTGATGTTTGCATTGTACACAGCTACAGACCCCGAAACCCTACAGCTTCATAAAGATGACATTGAGGGCATCCAGTTTCTTTATGGTAAGTTAGCATTGGTAACAGGACTGGGAGATATTTTTCATTTGACATTTAGAAAGCATAAAATTTTGTGTTTACACTGGCTGGTGAATCTTTTGGATTAGCCTTAAGGGTGGCCACCTTGTCCTTCAGAACCTGCTGTTGTGGCAGGTTGGCATCCAGATGGTACAGCTGGGCCAAGAACATGTTGGTTCTGCTGGACAGTCATTTCACTGCCCATGTCATTGTCATCACTCCCAGAGAGCTGCTTAATGGCCTTGTGAGCTCCTGATGATATGAGTTCCCAGGGCGGGTATCCCTACCTCCTCCCTGGCAATATGTCAGCATGGTGTCCCCTTAATGGTCAGTAGTTCAGACACAGCTCTTCAGTCGATTGGGAGTGGATATGATGGCCAAATGGACATGATCCACCCACTTTTCCCTGTATTGATGAGAATAGGAAAAAGGGGGTGTTGATGTTTCACTGTGTTGACAATGATCAGTCTAAACCAGATGCAGTCCAGGTATCCACACTACCTCAAGGAGACAGGAGTGCTTTGGAGTTTCAAGCAAACTCTGGAGCTTCCCACAACATTTACAATTGTGTGGCTAAAGTGGCTTAACCTGAGATACTTACCAAAACTGAAAAAACACCATAGGGAAATCCAGGAACTAACTCAGGTTGAGTTCAGGTTATAGTGCCTGCCTAGATTAACCCTATGTCAGATCACCTCCTTATGTGAGGAGGTGGCTCCTTTCAATGTCTCTGGGCCATGTCTTGTTTATTTTTTACACCCCTTTAATTTCTTTTCAAGGAAAACCTGAAGTCAACACTGACTCAAGAAAACCACCAGTAAATATTTTACAAGAGGCAACCTCAACAGACTTGTGTGACCCTCAGTTGGCTTTTGATGCTGTGACTAAACTCCGAGGAGAGACCTTATTCTTTAAAGACAGGTATATTATTATATTAGTTAGTTAACAGAAAGACCCTCCTGGTTGTGTAAGAAAATGCAGAGGGACCACCTTATCTAGAGCTCTGCTCAGTTTACATGGACAGGTTGAAAGGAAAGCAGGAACAAACTTTTCTCTTCTCATCCCTCCTCTGCTTCTTTGCTGATCTTCCTACTATTAGCATCAATGAGTGTGAAATCACCCAAAAAAGCTCAGGGACTGCTGTACATTTCTGCTCATGTCAAGAAAATCTCTGGGGACTAAATGGACCAATAGGGTTCCTGTATATTGCCATACCTTCCAACAAGTCAAAGATCAAAACTGAGATAGAATCATAGAATCATAGAATCAAAGAGTTGGAAGAGACCTCATGGGCCATCCAGTCCAACCCCCTGCCAAGAAGCAGGAATATTGCATTCAAATCACCCCTGACAAGATGGCCATCCAGCCTCTGCTTAAAAGCTTCCAAAGAAGGAGCCTCCACCACACTCCGGGGCAGAGAGTTCCACTGCTGAACAGCTCTCACAGTCAGGAATTTCTTCCTCATGTTCAGATGGAATCTCCTTTCTTGTAGTTTGAAGCCATTGTTTCACGTCCTAGTCTCCAGAGAAGCAGAAAACAAGCTTGCTCCCTCCTCCCTGTGGCTTCCTCTCACATATTTATACATGGCTATCATATCTCCTCTCAGCCTTCTCTTCTTCAGGCTAAACATGCCCAGTTCCCTAAGCCGCTCCTCATAGGGCTTGTTCTCCAGACCCTTGATCATTTTAGTCGCCCTCCTTTGGACACATTCCAGCTTGTCAATATCTCTCTTGAATTGTGGTGCCCAGAATTGGACACAATATTCCAGGTGTGGTCTAACCAAAGCAGAATAGAGGAGTAGTATTACTTCCTTAGATCTAGACACTATGCTCCTATTGATGCAGGCCAAAATCCCATTGGCTTTTTTTTCCGCCACATCACATTGTTGGCTCATGTTTAACTTGTTGTCCACGAGGACTCCAAGATCTTTTTCAAAAGGGAGGAACATGTCAAGAGAAAGGCGTATCAAGATATGCATGCCCTTGCAACATCAGAATATGGTCAAGAGGGTAAAAAATGAGGGAGAACATACAAGCCAGGAAAGGCTGCAGCTAATTACTTTTGCTTGGACATATTGGGAAGTGGTTTGCTTCTTCCTCGTCCCCCTCCACAGTGATTTAATTGAGTACAAACTATTTTTGTACTTTGGACTCAGTTTGAAATAATTGAAGTAAACTGAGAAGTATGGGGAGAAATGGGAGAAGGAGAGAGAAACTGGGACATTTTAGAGCAGTTGAAAATGTGGGAGGACAGAGGACTAATCAAGACCATCCTTTCCAAATTAGGATAGATCAAAGATATGAGTTCCAAAGTTTATTTTGATACACACACACACCCCGATCCTTGGAGTGCCCTCCTGAACAAAACCCAGAAAAATCCTTGCTCAGAATCCTATCCTTGTTGTTGTTGTTCATTCGTTCAGTCGTCTCTGACTCTTCGTGACCTCATGGACCAGCCCACACCAGAGCTCCCTGTCGGCCGTCACCACCCCCAGCTCCTTCAAGGTCAGTCCAGTCACTTCAAGGATGCCATCCATCCATCTTGCCCTTGGTCGGCCCCTCTTCCTTTTGCCTTCCACTTTCCCCAGCATAATTGTCTCTCTAGGCTTTGCTGTCTCCTCATGATGTGGCCAAAGTACTTCAACTTTGTCTCTAGTATCCTTCCCTCCAATGAGCAGTGGGCTTTTTTTCCTGGAGGATGGACTGGTTGGATCTTCTCGCAGTCCAAGGCACTCTCAGAACTTTCCTCCAACACCACAGCTCAAAAGCATCTCTTCCTTCGCTCAGCCTTCCCTAAGGTCCACCTCTCACATCCGTAGGTTACTACAGGGAATACCATGGCTTTGACTAGGCGGATCTTTGTTGCCAGTCTGATGTCTCTACTCTTTACTATTTTATCGAGATTGGACATTGCTCTCCTCCCAAGAAGTAAGCGTCTTCTGATTTCCTGGCCACAGTCTGCATCTGCAGTAATCTTTGCACCTAGAAATACAAAGTCTGTCACGGCCTCCACGGTTTCTCCCTCTATTTTCCAGTTGTCACTCATTCTTGTTGCCATAATCTTGGTTTTTTTGACGTTTAGCTGCAACCCGGCTTTTGCGCTTTCTTCTTTCACCTTGATTAGAAGGCTCCTCAGCTCCTCCTCGCTTTTGGCCATCAGAGTGGTGTCATCTGCATATCTGAGGTTGTTAATGTTTCTTCCAGCAATTTTCACCCCAGCTTTGCATTCATCCAGCCCCGCACATCGCATGATGTGTTCTGCATACAAGTTAAAAAGGTTGGGTGAGAGTATGCAGCCTTGCCGTACGCCTTTCCCAATCTTGAACCAGTCTGTTGTTCCGTGGTCAGTTCTTACTGCTGCTACTTGGTCCTTGTACAGATTCCTCAGGAGAGAGACAAGGTGGCTTGGGATGCCCATCCCACTAAGAACTTGCCACAATTTATTATGATCCACACAGTCAAAGGCTTTAGAATAGTCAATGAAGCAGAAGTAGATGTTTTTCTGAAACTCTCTGCCTTTCTCCATTATCCAGCGGATATTGGCAATCTGGTCTCTCGTTCCTCTGCCTTTTCTAAACCCAGCTTGAACATCTGGCAACTCTCGCTCCATGTATTGCTGGAGTCTTCCTTGCAGGATCTTGAGCATTACCTTACTGGCATGAGAAATAAGGGCCACTGTACGGAAGTTGGAGCAGTCTTTCGCATTTCCCTTTTTTGGTATGGGGATATAAGTTGATTTTTTCCAGTCTGATGGCCATTCTTGTGTTTTCCATATTTGCTGCCATATGGCATGCATCACCTTGACAGCATCATCTTTTAAGATTTTAAACAGTTCAGCTGGGATCCCGTCGTCTCCTGCTGCCTTGTTGTTAGCAATGCTTCTTAAGGCCCATTCAACCTCACTCCTCAGGATGTCTGGTTCTAATTCATTCACCACACCGTCAAAACTATCCTCGATATTATTATCCTTCCTATACAGATCTTCTGTATAGTCTCGCCACCTTCTCTTCATCTCTTCAGCTTCTGTTAGGTCCCTGCCATCTTTGTTTCTTATCATGCCAATTTTTGCCTGAAATTTACCTCCAATGTTTCTAATTTTCTGGAAGAGGTCTCTTGTCCTTCCTATTCTGTTGTCTTCTTCCACTTCCATGCATTGCTTATTTAAAAATAGTTCCTCATCTCTTCTGGCTAACCTCTGGAATTGCGCATTTAACTGGGCATATCTCCCCTTATCCCTGTTTCCTTTTGCTTTCCTCCTTTCTTGGGCTACTTCCAGTGTCTCAGCAAACAACCATTTTGCCTTCTTGGTTTTCTTTTTCTTTGGGACGTACTTTGTTGCCGCCTCCTGAACAATGTCTCGGACTTCTGTCCATAGTTCTTCTGGGACTCTGTTTACCAAATCTAGTCCTTCAAATCTGTTCTTCACTTCCACTGTATATTCGCTAGGAATGTTAGTGAGATCATATCTAACTGGTCTGTGTATTTTCCCTGATCTCTTTAGTTTTATTCTAAATTGGGCAATAAGAAGTTCGTGATCTGAGCTACAGTCAGCCCCAGGTCTTGTTTTCACCGACTGGATGGATGTCCGCCACCTTTGGCTGCAAAGGATGTAGTCAATCTGACCGTCTGGTGAGGTCCATGTGTAAAGCCGTCTTTTAGGTTGTTGGAAGAGAGTATTCGTTATACACAGCGAGTTTTCCTGGCAAAATTCTATCAGCCTGCGTCCCGCTTCATTTTGTTCCCCCAGACCATGCTTGCCTGTGATCCCTGTTGTCATTTGACTTCCCACCTTGGCATTCCAGTCTCCTGTAATGAAAATAATGTCTCTTTTTGGTGTATTATCCAGTAGTTCCTGCAGATCCTCATAGAACTGATCTACTTCTGCTTCTTCAGCAGCTGTGGTTGGGGCATATATTTGGATCACTGTAATGTTGAAAGGCTTTCCTTGCACTTGAATTGAGATCATTCTGTCATTTTTTGGGTTGTATCCAAGCACCGCTTTAGCGAATTTCTTATTAATTATGAAGGCTACTCCATTTCTTCGATGTTCCTCTTGTCCGCAGTAGTAGATCTGGTGGTCATCTGATGTGAAGTGGCCCATTCCATCCATTTCAGTTTGCTGACCCCCAGAATGTCTATCTTTAGTCTTGACATCTCACCAATAACAACATCCAATTTGCCCTGGCTCATAGATCTTACATTCCAGGTTCCTATGGTGTGTTGATCTTTAGAGCATCGGATTCGTCGTTCACCTCCAGTACCGTCGGCCGTTAGCCTTCCTTTCGGCTTTGAGCTAGCTGCGTCATCACATCTGGGGCTAGTTGAACTTATCCTCTGCTCCTCCCCAGTAGCATTTTGGCCATCTTCCGACCTGGGAGTCCCATCTTCCAATGGCATACCGACATATCTCTGGTTGTACTGGTCCATTTAGTTTTCTTGGCAAGGATACTGGAGTGGTTTGCCATTGCCTTACCCAGGGATCACGCTTGGTCTGACCTCTCTGCCACAACCGTCCCGTCTTGGGTGTCCCTTCACGGTTTCGCTCATGACATCATTGAGGTGCTCAAGCTCCAGCGCCCCGACAAGGCGGTGATCCTTTGCTGAATCCTATCCTAGGTAGACCATTTTAGAAGCTGTAGTCCAAAACACAACTTTTCCAAGCTCTGTTCCCAAATACCATAGGATTAAAACAACATTTTCATTTATTTGAAAGAAGGCAGAGTTTTTGCTTTAACATAAACTAAATAAACACTTGTTGTCACTTTTCTCCCTCAGCTTCATATGGCGAAAGAATCCTCTTAAGCAAGAAGTTGAAAATTCATATGTTTCCTCTTTCTGGCCAGTTCTGAAAAGCGGCATAGATGCTGCCTATGCAATTCAAGATAAGGATATGGTCTATTTTTTTAAAGGTATATCTTTTTTAAAGGTAAATCTTCACCAGGTAAGGGGTGAAGATAACTCACTATTGAATAAAATGGGTTGTGAAAGGTAAGGGCCTTCTCTGGGTTCAATCCCACCCACCCCACCTGAAAATTTCAGGTTAAATAAACTGGTTTACTCATGAATTTTAACTTGTAAACCAAATTCCCATGCTAAGCAAAAAATAGAGTTCCTTCAGAATTGAAAGCACTATCTCAACAAAATTTTGATAATCTATTGACGCTATATGCCTGTGAAATGTGGACCATCTACAGATGTTACACTCAATTTCTGGAATGATTCCATCAGTGTTGCCTCCAAAAAAAAAAATCCTGCAAATCTCTTGGGAAGACAGGAGGAGAAATGTCAGCATTCTGGAAGAAGCAAAGACCACCAACGTTGAAGTAATTATCCTCTTCCATCAACTTCACTGGACTGGCCACATGGTCCAAATGCCTGATCACCATCTCCTAAAGCAGTTACTCTCAACTCAAGAACAGAAAATGGAATGTTGGACAGCAACAGAGATTTAAAGATGGGCTTAAAGCTAACTTTTAAAACTGTGGCATAGACATTGAAAACTGGGAAGCCCTGGATCTCAAGTATTCTAAATGGAGGTCAGCTGTTATCAACAGTGCTGTGGAATTCGAAGAGGCAGGAATGGAGGGCAAAAGGGAGGAACATGTCAAGAGAAAGGCATATCAAGTCAACCCTTGTTAGAACCACCTTCCATCTGGAACTCAATGTCCTCACTGAGAAAGAACTTGCAAATCAAGACTAGGTTTCAACAGTCACCTACGGACTCCCCGCAAAGACCCTACACTTGGAAGGCAATCATACTCAGTCGTGAGTGATAGCCTATGATATATGATGATGACTACATTTGGCTAGTGAAAGAAACTGGGACATATGAAAGAGACTTTATAAGACTTCTTGAAGTGTTGCGAGAGTGTGGCCCTTGTGCGATTGTGAGACAAGAAAATCTCACAAGGAGGGTAGGTCTTTCAATGGCTCCTACCTGCAGCTATCATGGGATCTCCATTTGCTACATCATCAGCCAAGCAATAAAGACCCTTGGCTCTTTCCTTTTTGTTACAGTATTTTGAAGGTCATTTGCTTCATGTATTTTTCCTTGCATTTCTTTTTAGTTTGAAAGTCATCTTCAGTCCTATCATGGCAAAATATAAATAAACTAGGCAGAACTTGTAGAAGAAATATTGGCATTGCTAGGCAATTTTAAGGTGGCTAGTTCCCAAAAGGCAATCCTCCAATTAAGCAAATGTATTTAGGGTGTTGTGTAACTTTCCTTCACACAACTTAGTAAATCAACTACAGGCAAAAAATCATTGAGAATTACTGCATATTTGGAAGACATATTCAGCCTATATTAAGTGATCACCTATAGTATAGTAATTCCTCTAGTCTTTCCGTTGGATCCTCGGGCTAGTCTTACTCATCCAACCTTTTTATACTACTTTCAAACTCAAAGAATAGAGCTTGGAAAAGATACCATTTGGACTACAAATTCCAGCATGGCCCAAGCCAACATGATCAGTAATAGCATTTGTAGCAACCCATTTTGCACTTCTTTTTGCATATAATTTAGAATAAATATATCTCCAAGCTTCTAAGTCTGGTTTGTTTGATCTCCACCCAAAGCGCTTTCCATTTCATTCATTCTTTTTTCTTTCTTTTTAAAAAATAGGTACTAAATTTTGGGCAGCAAGGGCCGATATTATTGAGCCAGGTTTCCCAAAGAACATTCACAGGCTTGGCTTTCCAAAAACTGTTAAGAAAATTGATGCAGCTGCTTATGATGAAAACTCCAAGAAAACATACTTCTTTTCAGGTGACAAGTATTGGAGGTAAGGAAAATGAACTGTTTTTACATTGGGTTGTTGTAAGTTTTTTGGGCTGTATGGCATCTATGTCAAACATCCTCAGAGCTTGTGAGGTCTGTTGGAAACTAGGAAAATGGGGTTTATATATCTGTGGAAATGTCCAGGGTGGGAGAAAGAACTATTGTCTGTTGAAGCTAGGTGTGAATGGCCTAGCAGTTTTTGAGGTGTGGCTCCTTATTGCCTGAGGGAATCCTTAGTTGAGAGGTGATTAGCTGTCCCTGATTGTGTCTTGTCTTGAGCTCCTCTGTCTTTATTTACTGTTATGATCTTAGAGGGTTTTTTTTAAAAAATATTGGTAACCAGATTTGGTTCATTTTCATGGTTTCTTCCTTTCTGTTGAAATTGTCCACTCATGGTCTATAGTTCCCAACAACAAAAAAGCAATTTAGAGTTGCTAGTAATGATCTCATGACATGGTAATCACGACTCTGTAAAATAGTTTTCACTAATGTTTGATTTATATAAATTTTTAAAGTGTACACAGGTTACAGTCTGAAACACATTGCCTTAAATGCTTTGCAGTAAAGCAAATAATCACAAAGTTGAAAAAGAGTGAAGATGTGAACTAAAAAACTTCAACTGCTTTCCCTGACCACTTGTACATGATTGTTGTTGAAACATGTTTGTTCCAGGTGGTAAAATAGTTTGTGCTGACTCTTCTTTGAACCTATAAAAGAATTATTATTGCAGGGAAACTAACCTTGAAACAAGTTTGTATTCCAAACCACACTTTAATTTCTGATAATCCTAACAATGATGCCTGTCACATTAAGAACAACACCTTTGAAGCTGCATTAATGTTGAACCCATTTCTTTTTTAGATATGATGAGACCAAGAATATCATGGAAAGGAGTTATCCAAGGTCAATAGCAGCTGACTTCCCTAGCATTGACTCTGGAGTGGATGCTGCCTTTCAACAAGATGGTAAAAATTTTGTGATCTCTATGAATATATGGTGATTAAAAGCTCATTTCTCAGAATGACTGCATAGATAGGGATAGAAGATGCAGTAGCTCTTCTTTCTAAGGACATCATCTGTTCTACATGCTCCGACCAAACACCAATTCTACACCCCCCCAAATACTTTCTATGAGACAAGAGGGCAGGCAACTGGAGCAGAAATTAGTAGAAATCACCTATTGAAGAAGGAGAAGAGGGGAAAAGAAAGAACTGGAGAAGGAGAAACAGGAGGAACATCATCAGCCTATCTTGACCCTACATTGACACAGAGTGTGCCCATACTACAAAGAGCATTTTGAGGCATTCAAAATTATGAGGTTTTGTCCAGTGATCTCCAGACATGATGGAAGTATTCTTTACACTATTTTAAGACAATTTTCCAAAAAAACCCTGCAAAAATATTGACCACTTGGGACCAGACAGAGGCAACATGTTGCTTTCAGATCATACTTTTGTCATCCAAACATAGATATACTCATGAAAACTAAGTATCTGACAATATTCGTGAACATAATGTAGTTAAGTAATTTGAACAGCCCTTCACCATAGTCCATGTTGGGATCAAAGACATAATAAAACATTTATGAGACCTGCAAGGTTTTGTACATCAATCACATTCAAAGCACTAACCATTCTTATTGTTTCCTAGGACGTCTCTACTTATTCAGTGGCTCAAAGCAATATGAGTTTGACAGCAGAACCAAAAGATTTCTTGGCAGAAAGAAGGCTAACAGTTGGTTTGGCTGCATGAGACCAAAGAAGAATGAAAGGAGACCAGAATAATGAAATCTCTGCTTCTTCATCCCAAAAACACATGCCTTTGTCTTGGACGTTTATCAGTCTGTCCTGTGTTTTCGACTCAGAGAAAACTAGTGCCACTGAGAACGTTTTTTAAAACAATGTTTTTACTTGTTTGTATTAATGTTTTAACGTATATATATTTATTTTTATTTAACATCACTCTAAGAAAAGGGAAAGAGGTAGTAAATAAATGTTTAAGTAAATAAGAAAATAGGGTATAGATTATTATTATTATTATTATTATTATTATTATTATTATTTGTTTTCCAAGACTGGGACTCAAAGTGGCTTAAATTATCAATTTATTAACTTATTATTGTTATTACTCAGAAGGTTTAAATTAGTATATTATTACAGCAGACTAATGGTTAATGTGTGTTGCAATAATAAAGTAACATATTTTTCGTTATAATGTTGTCATGGTTTATTCCTTTCTATGAAAGCATAAGTTCTTATCATTATTTATCTGAATGGAGGGAAGGCCCATCTAATCAACTCCATTCATTAGATGCTGTTTTAAAACTGCTAAGTGTTGTGTTTATTGACATTATGTAATGCATATATATGATTTTGGTCAATTTTCAGTATGTCATTGATCTTTTTCATCCACTTTCACTCTGGTCTCCCCCACAAGCATGTACATTCAGCTCTCCACATTTATGGGATTAACTTTTGCAGATTTGATTATTCACAGTTGATCAATATGTTCTCTCTAGAACTCTCTAAATCCTCCAGTGCTCAGTGGTCAACTTCTAAACGTGGAGGCTCTTCCTTATGGTCTTCAAGATATGAACAAGATTCTCTATATGAACACATATGCATTCATTTTTCCTTTTAATTCAGTAAAATTAAAGGGTTTAAATCAGTGGTTCTCAACATGTGAGTCCCCAGGTGTTTTGGCCTACAACTCCCAGAAATCTGAGCCAGTTTATCAGCTGTTGGGATTTCTGGGAGTTGAAGGCCAAAACATCTAGGGACCCAAAGGTTGAGAACCAGTGGTTTATATGCATGTGCAGCCTTTCTTTTGGTGACTTGTTTCTGGAATCATCTACCCTATAGAATTAATGCAGTGTGATACCACTACCATGGTTCAATGCGATGGAATCCTGAGATTTGCCTTACCAAACTACAACTCCCCATGATTCCCTAACATTGTGCCATGGCAGTTAAAGTGGTGTCAAACTGCATCTATTCTGTCTCAAATTTTTTTTAAAAAATGCATCAGAAAAAGGCACATCCCAGCACTGCAAGTAATCGATTCATTTCTTCTTTTACCTCAATTTAATTCCTATGTTCTATGAGACAATTGGTGCCTTGAAGCATAAACTTTCCATCTTTGTCTTGAGATTAGTCACTGAGCCAAAGAAGGTCAGTAAATGTAACCCTTGGGCAATTGCAAAATACAGAAAGCAGATATGAAGCAACCTATGTTCAGTACCCGCAAGCACCATCATATAAATTAAATTAAGGATACCAATTTTGTTTTAACAATTGAATTAAGTTCCTATGTTTTAGTTTGTCATGATTGCATATTTGGTGCTTACTTGATTTACTTACTTTACTTGAGTTTGGAGTAGAGTAGCTGCTTTGGGAGACGGTGATTGGGCATTCAGACAACGTGGCCAGACCTGCGGAGTTGATGGCAAAGGAGCATCGCTTCAATGCTGATGGTCTTTGCTTCTTCCAGCACACTGGCATTGAGATTTGCAGGATTTTTCGGAGGCAGCTTGATTTACTTGATTATGCTGCACATCACCATTATAATAATTCTTTTGTTGTGAAGAATTATTGAAGTGAGATGGTCACCCTAGTACAAGTTCACTTTGGTACATATTAATTTTCCCCATAGTTTCAAAGTACTAATTTATTCTGTCTTGTTGTCAATCATCATAATACCTGAAAATGGTATGTGTGTGTGTTGAAATCCTTTGATCATTTGGACTCTTCAATATCTCGACAGATCTACAATTATTCAACTCTTGTTCATTACATGGGCATGTTTCCGGTGGTGGATGTTGCACAGTAAGCTATTCATAAGCTCGTTGTGCAATGTCAAACATCTTGTGGTAGCTTTTAAGCCCAAGGGGTGCTGATGCAGTTTTGGATAGACTGGCAGGGATGGGGGAGATGTAGCATTTTGGAAATCCCAGAAACCAACCTCATTTCCTTTCCTCCCATTGCAGAACTACAGCTGGGACAGGTGTTCCCTGGTTACTTCTTCCTCCCACATCAGTAAATGGATGTGGCAGCACCCTTGTGATGAACAGGAAGAAGTACAGAGTTTTGTGTACAAAGTTTAATTCTCTACACACTTCAATGTAGCCTCTCAACCTCCATCTTCTTTGAGGTATAGTGAACTGTATACAGTATTACTTATGAGGGACTGATCTATTGGGGCAAATGGTACATTGCTCACCTAGTTGCTCAGACCTCTGAGAATGAGAAAAACAATCAGGCTTAGATTCATGGTGTGTTGGTCCAATACCTGGAGATACCTGATCTTCCATGTTTCAGCTTATTTTGCTCTGCCACTGCTCTGGGGGAAAAGAAGAAACAAGCACAGCTCCACAGTGCCTTGGTCCAACAGCTGGACATGTTATGTGATTTCAGCATCCACAAGAACCAGGGGTTTGAGTGCCTGGTGTGTCTAGCTCTCCAGAAAGCCCAATGAGACACAGGAGGGTTAAAGCTTGAAGGCAAAATCAGACATTTAATCTCAATGGCCAGAAAAGATGTCAGTGGAGAAAGCACTTCAAAGAATGGATATATCACAATTGTGAATATACAGCATATTTATTACATTTTGACAGCTATTCAAGACTTCTGTGCTAGCTCCTTATTGATCCAAGAAGTATCCACTATGATCAACTCAGTAGTTGGTTTGGGATTCCTTCTAACATCATTGCTGGTTGGTTCTCAATTTGGGCAAAATATTTCAATAAACTATCAATGGATTATTTTGAAGTGTCTGTACATTTACTGATCCGTCCCTGAGAAAGGCACAATCAGGGAAGAATGTAGAGTGGCTCTGGTGGACACAATAGGTTGAATCCAAGATACACAATAGGAGCTTTAAGGTGTCACAAAAGGGACACTCAATTGGGGAATGGGAAAGAAATCAATCCCACTAATTGCCCTGATCACAACCAGATACAGTGAAGACATCTGCCCTTGTGCTATGCTACTCTGCTGCTGAGTATGCATACCCAGTGTGGAACACATCTCACCACGCTAAAACAGTGGATGTGGCTCTTAATGAGACATGCCGCATTATCACGGGGTGTCTGCGCCCTACACCACTGGAGAAATTACACTGTTAGCCAGTATTGCACCACCTGACATCCGCCGGGAAGTAGCAGCCAATAGTGAAAGGACCAAGGCAGTGACATCTCCAGCTCATCCCCTGTTTGGGTATCAGCCAGCATGTCAATGACTTAAATCAAGAAATAGTTTTCTAAGATCTACAGAGACACTCGCTGGAACACCTCAGCAAGCGAGAGTCCAAAAGTGGCAGGCTCAAACCCAGAACCTCAATCAATGGCTGATACCAAATGAGAGACTCCCCCCTGGGCACACAGAAAACTGGGCGACTTGGAAGGCGCTGAACAGAATGTGCTCTGGCACCACAAGATGCAGAGCCAACCTCAAGAAATGGGGCTACAAAGTGGAATCCACAACATGCGAGTGCGGAGAAGAGCAAACCACAGACCACCTGCTGCAATGCAACCTGAGCCCCACCACATGCACAATGGAGGACCTCCTTGCAGCAACACCAGAGGCACTCCAAGTGGCCAGATACTGGTCAAAGGACATTTAATCAACTACCAAGCTTGCAAACTCTGTTTTGTCTGTTTGTTAAAAATTTGTTAAAATGTAATACAATTATCTGGTTGCCACTGACACGATAAATAAATAAATAAATAAATAAATAAATAAAATGAAATAATTGCCCTGATTTTATCCGGGGAAACAAGAAAAGGATCCAGGAGTTCTGACACAACTCTATTGTGTGTTCCCCTCGTGCCTCCCAGTTCATTGTGAGATGGTTATGGCAATTTGATGGATTGTTTCCTGTGGTCCGGGGTGTATTAAGCAACCTATGCTCTAGAATGAATCCACTTAAACTGCCCTGGCTCAATACTATGGGGGGGGGGGGGTACAGTTTAGGATCATAGGGGCTGCCAAAGAATACTGATGCCTCACCAAACTACAAATCCCAGCATTACATAGCCTTGAGCCATGGCAATTAATTATATATTCCTCAAATAGGACCTCCAGGTGCTCCTGAAGTAGCTTCTCGTACTTTTTTCTCTGTAGATATGCATTATACCATGGTTAGCAATCACACCAGAAGACAGCCAAGTTCCTTTTTATGGATGTGAGATAATCACCAAAAGAGATGCAATATCTCTTTTGCCCTGAAGCATTCTCCTTTCCCACAAAGAGGAGTGTCTTTCTGGCAGAGTCTTCCCTTTAGGAATTGTGGATCTGAACCTCCTAGCTCATGTAATTAAGAGCTATTAGATCATCATTACCAGGATCAACCTGTCATTAGGGAGTGTACGACAACTGCCAGAGGCAACACATTTTGGATGTCATGGAAAAGTAGCAAATTGTTAGTTGTGTTGTTGTTAGTGACTGCATTTTTCTAACCACTAGGGGTGGGGTTAGGTGCCCTTTAAATTTTTGGCCTCATGTGTCAAAATAACTTCCCTAACTTTGAATTCTATCCATCTTCACTCAAGAGATTATATGACTTTTTTTGTGTTTCTTCTCAGGCACCAAAATGTCTTAGGCTTACCCTTATCTAGCTATTTTCTCTTTTGTTATGTAGGAAACCTTACTGAAAGATTCACATTTCTGTGTTTTCCTATGTTCGTGGTGAAGTAAGTGACTTACTTGGAAATTGTAGATGAACAGTGTACCCAAATTTTCCAGAGAAATTATAATTTGGAGAAAACTCATGTAAGATTACATAGAAAATCTGTTGGCTCAAATGGGTTTCCTGTGTAGAACACATTTTTTCCATTTTTATTATTTTTGTTTTTGTTTTGATAAGAAA